TTATGGACTCAGCCAGGGCTCGATCCGTGGTCCGCGGGTTACCATCCGCCAGGCTGCTATTTTACTTTTTGGTCTCTGTTCTCAGGCCCTTGCCTGTTGGCGCCCGTTCTCAAATTCCTCTTTCGGCACTTTCAAATTTTGATACATGGCGCCATCCGACATTTTAGCGCCCATGGAGTTAGATGAGCTCCGCCGCCAGCTCAAGGAGCTCACAGGTAAGGTCTGGATTCTACCAAGTACGTCCGCCTACGGAGTGCCAGTTTTATTTGTCCCAAAGAAAGGGGGGACCCTAAGGATGTGCATTGATTATGGGGGCCTCAATTCCATCACCATTAAGAACGCAGAGCCCCTACCACGCATTGACGACCTCTTCGATAGATTGCATGGATGCCGATACTTTACTAAGATAGATCTAAAGTCCGAACACCATCCGATTGCTATTAGACCTGAGGACCATCACAAAAATGTCTTTCAGATGGTTCGTACGAGTTTGTGGTGATGCCTTTGCCCTATGCAATGCTCCTGGGACATTCTAGCACGCAATGAATCAGATCTTTCATAACTATTTAGACAAGTTTATCGTCGCGTACCTCGACGATGTTCTTATCCTTAGTAAGACTATAGAGGAGCACGCTGAGCACGTGAAAACAGTGCTACGTCTCCTAAGACAGTACCAGTACAAGGTCAATTGGGAGAAATGTGAATTTGGTCGCACCAAGATCTTGTATGTGGGTCATGAGATTTTCGCGGATGGTGTGAGGCCGGATGATGCTAAAGTGGTCATCATACGTGACTGGCCCAGACCTCAGTCTCTAACTGAGGTGAGGTCATTCTTGGGGATGACAGGCTATTATCGTCCATTTGTGAAAAATTACAGCACGATAGTGTCCCCATTAACTGACATCTCACGCCTTGACACCCCTTGGGAGTGAACTGAAGAGTGTGAGGCAGCCTTCAAGAGATTGCAGTATGGCCTGACGCACTGCGAAGTCCACAAGCTTCCGGATCCTGAACAACCCTTTGTTGTGACCATAGACGCCAAATAATATGGCATAGGCGCGGTCCTTGCGCAGGAGGGGAAAAAGTTGAGGCTGATGGAGTGCATGTGCAAAAAGATGCCATCTCATAAGTTAGCTAAGTCCACGTATGAGCGTGAGCTATATGGCCTCTACAAAGCGCTGCTCCATTGGAGGCACTACCTCCTAGGAAGATTCTTTGATGTGAGATCTGACCATGAGACGCTGCACTGGATCAAAACACAACCCGTTCTCTCTGACACACTTAAGAGGTGGATTGAAGTCATAGACATGTACGATTTCAAACTCGACCCTCTGGAGGGAGAGTACAACAAAGTGGCTAACGCACTATCGCGCAGGGCAGATTATCCGGGCGCGCTAGTGATCGAGTTCGGAATAGCTGATAATGTAACTCGATCTCTGGTGGAAGCCTATCAAAAGGACATTGTCATGTCTGAGATCATTCGCAAACTGGAAGCTAAAGATAAGGCGATTTTCGATGAATTTGTGCTGGTTGATGGCTTGCTGTTTCTTGAGAAGGTTGGGAATAAACGATTGTGTATTCCGCATAGAGAGTCTTTGCGTAGTCTATTTTTGGGAGAGTGTCACAATGTGACTGTTCATTTTGGCTAAAAAAAGACAGCAGCAAACTTAGTGCAAAAATTTTGGTGGCCCACAATGATGGATGATGCAAAGAAGTACGTAGAAACTTGCCACGTTTGTCAGCCTGACAAGCCCCGGACGCAGGCACCTCTTGGGCTGATCAAGCCCTTGCCCATCCCTGCTGGTCCAGGTCAAAGTGTATCCATGGATTCCATGGATACCCTTGTGACCAGCAAGAGCGGCACCCTTGTGACCAGCAAGAGCGGCAAACGACACATCTTTGTCATTGTGGACAGATTCACAAAGTATGCTAGACTAATCGCTATGCCTGAGTCAGCTAGGACTGACCATGTCATCAAGCTATTTATGGACAACTGGTACATGACTTTGGTCTCCCTAAGTCTATTGTAAGCGACAGGGATGTTAGATTCACTAGTGAACTGTGGCAAAGAACGGCCCAACAGATGGGTACCCGACTATAAGTGACATCAGGGAACCACCCTGAGGCAAATGGTCAGGCTGAACAGATGAACCGGGTAGTGCAGCACTTGCTTCGACATTACATGAAACCAAGTCAGGATGACTGGGATGAGAAATCACCCCTCGTTGCCAGCCTGTACAGTAACGCCGTGCAGAGCACTACTTGCATGACCCCCAACCAATTGCTTCTTGGTTGGAAGTCTAGATCTGCAATAGACTTCTTGTTGCCTGAAAATCAGCCAACCGCAGCCCCTAGCAGCATAGAGTTTGCTGTCAAGTATGCACAGTTGTTACAGCAGGCTGTAGAGCACATCAAGAAAGCTCAAGATGCCATGGTTGCATCTGAGAACAGACACAGACGACCGTGTGAGTTTCAGGCAGGCGAACGAGTCTGGGTAAAGTCATCCGAGTTGGGGCAGGAATTAGGAATCTCACGTTAACTGATGCCACAATACTTTGGCCCCTGGGAAATTCTCGATATAGTGGGAGATCAACCAGATGGACCATCATATGTCATTCGCATCCCTATACACCTACGTACCCACTGTGTCTTTCATGCATCAAAGTTGGCACCTTTCTCTGTCACCGATCAGTTTCCCTCGAGGAGATCGATGCTGCCCCAACCATGGACGAACATGTGGACATTGACGACATCATTGAGCTCAAGCTGATGCCGGTACCCAAGCCTCCAGGAAGATGCAGTATCGAGTACGTTTCTGACATCATACCGGTCCTAAAGAAGATCGATGGTTCACCAGAGAGGAATTGATGAAGATTGCTTCCCGAGTCATCACAAGATATGAACGAAGTTTGAAAGGGAAGCAGCCTGTTGTGTAACGACTTCTCAAAGGACTTCGAAGTAAAGGAGGATTGAGTGCGAGGGCTTGATCCCTCGGCATAACCCCATAAGGCCTGCATCAGGCACGAAGTGAAGAAAAGCCCCTGAACTCGTCAATTGTTGCCAATCTTGGTCGGGATCAGACAGTTGCCATGCGCCTGTTGGTTACATCCGCCCTGCACGTGAGAATGGGAAAGATTCGTGAGCCTTCGAGGCCATTCTCAACATGGCCAAAGCAGGGGACATAGCACGTTCGTGTCTGGGTGGTTGGGCATGCGTAACCAATTCAGTCCCTGGCCACTGTCTGAACGGGCCCGGGTGCAAACACTTTGGCCGAGCCTGAATCTACTGGAAACTCGGTCTCACATGACGGGGGCACGACAAAGCGCCCGCCACTTTCCATATAGGAAAGGGACGGGCGCCAGGCTGAGGATTCGGGCACGTGCATTTGCGGGCGCAGCATTGCTGGAGCATCGGCTCGTAGGCTGCTAGCTGCGCTAGTGCAAGTGCGCGGGCGCGCGCGGACATCGTGAGGTGCAGGGCCTGGTGAGGGTAGCGCCATAGCCCAACCCTTCATAGTCGGGCTTTGGGCTTGGATGGTCAGCAGGTGGTGTCGTCTTCATGTATGGGCAGGAAACGTAGGTAGAGAAGACGAGGGAGAGAAAGAGAGAGAGAGATGAGGATGATGACGTGAGGGCATTGGTCTTAACGATAATCTATGAGGGTCGACATCTTCATGTACTTCGGTCCTGCTGCTGACGTCAATAGTTGCATTGTCAATTCGTAGGCTGGTAGTAGTTGCGTGATAGTAGTCTGGGCGCTGAGCGCCAAGTAGGAGAAGGGCTCTGGGTACTTATGTTGGTGATGGTGAGAGTATGCTCTCATTGACACTCGAATTAAGTGTTTTGGTTCTCCACTGGTGTAATATCAATGCATATCTATTTTCTGCACAATGTGGGACTTCCTGGCTTTCAAATGTGATTTTGCAATCTGAAATTTGTCATTTCGCTATTGCTCATTTTTCTTGCACAAGAATGGTGAAACGGTTTTCACCTTTGCAGTAGCAGATGTAGATCCCAGGGCTCCATCCCTAGCCCTGTTCTCACCCGTGTACAGTATCAAGTCGACCCTGTGTGTTTGAACCCGCGACCTGTGTCTTGGCAGTTGACTGCTATCTGTCGCAGGTTTATGTCGTTATCGGGTTTTGATCCGTAGGTCTGTCCAGTAGGGGTCGCAGCTGTGTAGGGGTCGTATCTGTGGCAATTCTGAAAGGTCAAACTCGTAGCTGCTACAGTTTCCAAAGGCCAAGTCTACAGACTTGCGGAAGGTCTGGAAGTGACCTTTCGAGCGTTGCTCACGTTAGACCAGAGGCAAGCGGGCAAGTGGGTAGTCCAACTTTGCATAGTCAGCGGTAGCCAGTCCCAGTCTCACTTTGTCAAGTCGGCAAGTATCATGTGGGACAGTGTGCACCCAGGGCCCGGTGGAAAAGAGCAGACCAACGGCCAAAACAAGTATAAATCAAGGGTCAGCGTCCAGCCAGGGGATTGATTCTGCGTGAGCCATGCGGAAGCGCTGCCCGAGCGTCTTGTGCGAGGTGGTCTGCAGTTGCCCGAAGTCGAAGTGGGCTGCGAGGGAGATAGAGCGACCATCACCATTTGTAGTTAGTTGATAGAAGGCGGCCATAGCTGCCATAGTTAGCGATAGGGTGTAGCGTGCATGTGTGAGTGTGTGGCGTGAAGAGTGAGCATGCGTGGAACATCCAGGGAGATCCAGCGTGGTGTGCGTGTGAACAGTTGTTTGTGAATACAGTGTCGGAAGTGAGATGTAAGGGCGCTCAGGCGCCATAGCCATTGCAGCGAGTTTGAATCTGAACTGTGTTCGCGACCTTAATATCTCTGAGCTTTGTGTGGGCACCTGTCGCCAGTGTGGATTGCCGCCTGTTTGCATGCATGCTGACTGAGCGAGAAAACGAGTCTGATTGCAATGGGCTGAAATGTTGTGAAAACTTCGATTTTCAAGGCAGCTGAGGTGTTGTTGGTGAACTTTGTGTTGTGCTGGTTTAGGCGTCAGGTCTTTTGGATAGCGAGGCACGTTCTTGAGCTGGCGATGGGAGATGCCATTGATGACTTCATCCTTGCAAAAATTCAATTGCTTCGGCGGGAAGATGTGATCGCTGCTGCAATAAAGTGGATTCACAAGGCATGTGGCTACCACCATTCCAACACGCTGTTGTTTATCTTACAGTATTTGCTTCTCTCTCCCCCTACTAAGGCTTTTCGGCTGCAGGCCACATACGTCACGGGCGCCGGGGGTTGGCCACCATCGGATGTTTGATCTGCGGCTGTCCTCCTGCGTCCAACTTTTGACAGTCTCAAATGGCCGCCACCTACGTGATTTGCTGTGATTGCGGCCAGCTGTCAGATCAAGGACTCTCAGAGAAGTCACGACGCGATATTTTTTTTCAACGTTGGATGTAACTGAGATCTACGGTTGGCTATGGATGGGTTCAAAAAATCTTGCTTTTCTATTTCACTGTCCGTGTTGTTTCTTTTCCTATTTGTTTTTCTGTTTTTTTTTGTGGTGTTGAAGGAGAGACGGGCTCAAATTCAGCATTGTGCACTGCCGTGGTGCAGAACCCGTGCGATTTTCGAGAGTTTGAACTTCGAAGGCTTCGCAGTTTCGCAGAAAGGTGAAAAAAAAAAGAGAAAAAAAAGCAAAAGGGGGGGGGGGGGGGGGGGGGAGGGGGGGGCGGTCTCAGAAACATGCAGGGAGGTTTGGGTCTCCGAACTTTGTGGGGGGTGCATGGCAGAAACTTGCAGGAAAGTTTTGGGTCTCTGGACCTTGCGATGGTCGTCCTTGAGGTGAGTAGCTCAAATTCAGTGTAGTGCTCTGCGGTTATGCGGTTTTCTTTCACTGTAGTCGAAATGGTTGAGGGAGCAACATGCGGTGTATCTGTCCACGCCGTAGTAAAAGGGCCTTTACCCGTTCAGACCCTGAATGACGAATGCAGCATAATGGGGCCCACTCGGCCAGAAMTCAATTCGTGAAAAGCAGATCAAAAGACATGTTCTCTGGGTCAAAAGTCACATCCTAACTAAAGTGAGGAGTTGTGTCAAAGGTCACAGTCGTGCCCCGGGACGAACAGTTGCAGCATTCAATTGTGAGAGTCACGTCTGTTCGTCCAGGGGGCTGTGCAAGTTGTGTCTGTTCGTGCAGTAGATGTGTCTGTTCGTGCAGAAGTTGTATCTGTTCGAATGGAAGTCAGTGAGGTAGAGTCCCAGTCCAAGTCAAAGTCCAATAGGCAGTCCAGATGCAGACCCAAAGTCCAAAAATCTGGCCT